AAGCAAGATAATACCCACACCTCTCACAAGCTGCCAGAATAACAAACAATAACTCTAAGGTTTTTATTAAAACCTGGCACCATGACTTCATGGCCTGCTATGATCAGGAGATTGTAAGACCTGACCTTGACCAATTGGCCCATGATCCTGGGATCGGAATCGAGAGTCTGAGGCTTTCACAACAAGAAAGGCTTTGAAGCTAGATGAAGATCCCTCCCCTGTCTCCTGTATTCAGCAAGCAAGAGTGGGGGGAAAAAAAGCAGACCAGCTCAAAATGCCCATGGAGAAGATTCTCAATCGTTCAAGTCATGGTTGTCCCAAAGGTGCTTTTTCCAAAAGGCAACCAGACTTTCTTGGGTTTTGTGTTCTTTGAAAATGTTTCACTTTTCATCCAAGAAGCTTCTTCAGTTCCTCATCCAAGAAGCTCTTTGGATGAGCAGCAAAACGTTTTCAGAGAAAAAAACCCAAGAAACTCCAGTTGCCTTTTTGAAATAAAAACAACAACAACTTTGGGATGACCAGCTCAGAATGAGCTCTAAACTTCTAGACTTTTTCTTAATGTGAAGGAGAAATGAAAATGTCACTAGCTCTGCAAAATAACCACGGTCTTCCTGTATTGCCATCAGAGAGGAGGGACATCCTGATAGTGAGAGTTGTTAAGCAGTGAACCGCTTGCTTCCTGAAGTCACAGGTGAACCTGGACTGAAGGTTTTCAGACAAAGATTGGACAGCTATTGTCTTGAATGGTCTAAAATTGCATTAGAAGACCTCCAAAGTATCTTCCAATCCAATGATTCAATGATTTCATTTTAAATGTGAAAGGAAGAAATGTTAGAGACTCGGATGATTTGTTAATAATTCCTTTAGCTGCTCTGTTAACAAAGCTGCCGTCCAATATTTGCCTACGTGCCTACAATCCTACATTTGCTTACATGAGGAATTAGTTTCACTAAATTCAGTGGGATTTAATTCTGAGGAGACATATATAAAATTTAGTGTAAACATAATAAAGATTTAGTGTAAGCATAATAAAACTTTCTATTCAGGATCATGCTTCTTTACAGTTTGAGAGTCAGGTAAATACTGCTTTGAAAACATTATTCGATTTGGAGAATATATTGTACGTATAGTATTTGCTCAAGAATCTACTGTATAAGCAGCTGACAACTAGACTACTAGCCTTCCAAGAATATTTTTGCCTTATCTTTAAGCAACCTTAAGTTTTAATTGTTAAAATTAGAATATGCAAATTAGCAAAATATAGACTGTTAGTGAGGTGTCATATTTTGTGTTTTGATGGAGGTGCAAAGAAATGAGTCGTGAAACTTGTTTCCACAAAAGGAGCTATTTTGCACGTCTTAATTATAACCCATTTAATAATATGTTAACTTTATAGCAAGAAACATACAAGAGAGATGATTGACTCTTTTATTTATCCATTTATTTAATCAATGTATATAGTCACCCAATCATGTGCACTTCGGGGTAGGAAGATAAAAACTAAACGATAGCAATCATTGATCCTGACCTGAGGGGAGGAAGCTGGGTCTTAAAAGACAGATACAGCTGAGGCTATTCAAATCTCAGGGAAAGTTTTCTTCTAGAGGACAGAGGCAGCATCAGATATGGAGCCCAGACCTTAGACAGCCAAGCATTGACATCTATAACTGAGTAGGATCAGCACATTGATTATACCTGTCCTCATACCGATAAGTGACCTCATCCAGCAGTCTCAGGTACAGGAGCTGGAACAGACCCAATCCCTGAGATACATCCCCTCACAGTAGAGACTTAGGGCCAGACTTCTCTTTTCATTCAACATTGACTTAAATTGACCCTGGAATAAAGAGCAGAACTATTGTAACATCATGTCACCCATCCCCACCCCTTGAGCTTTTCTAAAAGGATACCACACATCCCTTATTCTGAACCAGTTGCAGGTTATAAAAAATGCAACCGATGCCACCTTAGTCTACATTCTGTTCTACTAGGTTGAAGGGGTCCATACAATCCACTTCCTCCAGAGTTCTCTGAAGCTTCAGGGTAACCACCTTCTCCAGAAAGAGAAAATTGAAGACAGATTAAAAAAAATATCCAACACTGTATGGTCTAGCAATGACTCCTTGACTGAAGGCAGACCTACCTCTCTCTCTCACACACACACTACTGGTTGGACCCACCTGCAGATCATTTCTTAGGCAGCTTTGACTAGCTAGGATTCAGGTGAGCTGCTCTTAATTTTCTCAGGGCCAACAGGCACAGATTCTTTCCAAATAACCTTGATGGATCCATATCTCACTTAGCTGAATCTGAACAGCTATAAACCAGCCCAGAATGAATCCAAGAAACGTTTTCTGCAGATGCCTCAAATAGCCTTCATAGCAATCCTTCAAAGGTACTCTAACCAATCCTTTCCTAGGAGAGCCAAAGACACAATAAGAGTGGAGAAATAGTTGCATTTTGCTGCTTTTATTGTCACTGTGTAATCCTTACCAGATGCTTTTAGACCAATGTTCCATCAGCATTGTTCTTCATCTCCAGTGACATACTAAGAATTTCTTGTGCTATTTCATCTCCCAAAAATTTCTCTAAAAACTAGGTGGTGATTAGGATCCACATCAGGGGTGGGATTCTGCCAGTTCTGTCCACCTCTGTAGAACCAGTAGTTCTGAAGAACAGCAGACACAGAGCATACATAGAACTGGTTCTGTGTCTGCTGCTGTTGTGGCCCACCCGCCCGCCCGGGCTCTTACCTGACCTTTATTTCCTGTTTTTTCAACTGCAGCTGCTTTGCGCGACACAGCTGTGGTTGGAAAAGCAGGAAAAAAGGGCTTTTCCAACCACTGCACACTTGCACGCAGTGCTGCTCAGCTGTCCAGGCAGCTCAGCAGGTCATAAGTTGCACTCGCACAACTTGCACACGACGCAGAGCAACAGAACCAGTAGTTATACCAGTCGGATCCCATTCCTGATCCACATGCAGGAAGAGATCAATTTTAGGGCCTTATTTATTTATGAACTTCTGGAATAGTTAGTCTGGAATGTAGTTTTTATGTAAGAAATGGAAGAGATACATTGAAAAACAAAATTCCTTAGACTGCAAGTTAATGAATGTATGTAGGGAACTGAATTACTAGAAAAGTTTTTCCATATTTCTGAATGGAAATTGCTAGTGGTCTGTAGTCAGCAAAATCTTCACCTTCACTTTATATTTGCTCAGGTAATGCTGTCAGAACGAAAGGGAACAGAAGAATTGTATGCAGTCAAAATATTGAAAAAAGATGTGGTGATTCAAGATGATGATGTAGAGTGTACCATGGTTGAAAAGCGAGTTCTGGCTTTGCAGGACAAACCTCCTTTTTTAACACAGCTTCACTCTTGCTTCCAGACAGTGGTATGTGTTCATATGTCTTCCTTGTGCTGTGATTTCTCACACACTCTGACATCACAGAGTTTTTGAACTATGTGAGTGAAAATGGGGTAGGTTGGGGTAGGGTGATTAATATGCAATAGTTCTGTCAGTTGATCTATTTATGTATCAGCAGAAAGAAATGGAAAACCATTGGTTGGTTAGGGATAATTTCTTTTGAATATCTGCTAGTGGATGATGGATGGATGGACGAGATTGACATTCCTTGCATTTTATTTGTTTTATTTTATTTGTCATGGAATTGTGCAGCAGCTGTTCAGATGAATTCAGAGACACCAACACAAATTTGTAGTCTTTTATATATAAAAATATATTTAACATTCAAATTTGCAGCAGTCTTTGTCATCATCCAGAAAGAAACAACACAAGATAGTCAGGAACATCATGAAGTAAATTAAACAATATACAGAGCGCACAGAAGCAAAAAAGGAGGGGAAATAGGGGAAATTCCCCCTTTATACTTACAGCAGCCAATCACAGTGTAGATTGCCTCATGCATAAGTCAGCACTCTCTAACTAATCAGCTACAACTGTGTGCTCTGGCCTATTGTACACTTTACTGCTCCAGCTTCTAAATTCAATATCCTAACATTATTTTATTTTATTATTTTATTTTGCTATGTACAAAGAAATGCAAGGGAGTCTGCCTTGGGGGATGGAGAATGGGAAGGAAGAGCTGCACAGCTAAACACCTGCTCTTATCCTGATAAAAGTCATTCTTGAAAGCTACTGCATTTCTTTATAATGAAAAGAAAATAGCAGCTTAACAGATGGAACAAAAAGAGTGCATATGACTTGTATTCATGACATTTAAGTTGACCATAGGTTCTTTAAATCAGGATGCTGGAATCACATCCTAGAAAGCAAAATTCTTCCAATGTAGTGGTTTCCTTTGTTAACCAATACAATATATCTAAAGAAAGAAGTGGGACATTCAGAATTAAGCAATTTGACTTATTCATATTTTAAAACCTGGGGTGGGGGACTCCACCTCATCTTACTGATGTAGTTAATAATAACAATTATTGCTATAAAACAAAAGAAGATCAAATATTCATCTGAAGACAGAACATAACTTTAAAGTTGATCTAATTAGACCAATAAACAATTGCTTTTAATATCTGATAATTCATGTGACTGTGTTTTAATTGTGCAGATGCACTTAATACTCTTTCCCCAATTTTCTGTATTGAACATTCCTGACCAGTCTGCTGCCTGACCTATTTGTTGGTTTCATATTGTCTGTTAGGATCGCCTGTACTTTGTCATGGAGTATGTGAATGGTGGCGACCTCATGTATCATATTCAGCAAGTAGGAAAATTTAAGGAGCCCCAAGCAGTGTGAGTGCATTTTCTGTTGATTTTATATTGAATTTGTCATAAAATATTCTGCTTTAGAAAGATGTATCTTTCCATTCCCCACCTTACCCATATGTTCTAATTTTTTTGTGTAATTATCACTGCTTCATAGGAAAGCTAGCTTCAAAAACTCATCAATATTGCACAGGCTTAAAACTACTCAGAATAATTAAATTCTTAATTAGCACAGTCTCTATTAATTTCATACAATTAATCAAGTAAACTTTTTGAAAGGAGCTGCTTTTCTTATATTATTGTATTATGTATGAATCATAGAGCAAATAACTTGTAGTGTGAATCACAAGCATTTTAGAAACAGCTGATTGTGGCACTATACACTGTACAATTTAGATTATCTAGAAGCAAACTAATGTAATATATCACAATTCTTACCTTGTCATAGAGGAGGAGGAATCTTCATTTGTCCAAATTCCTTGTGTCTAATCACACTTGGTCAAGTAAAGTATTCTATTCTCTTGTAAATAACAGGACTTTGATTCATAGCATTAATGGAGTCTTCTGTGACTTGCAGCCATTGTGTTAATCTTGTCCCATAATCCTATGTAAGCACCCTTGCAAAAGTGAGATGACTCTGGAGGTATGAATGTTTTTCTCCACATACTGCAATGTGAACATTTATATCAGGGGCCTGATCTCTTGGGGAAGAGATTCTGTTTGCAACCAAGAATCCAGGGCAATCCGGATTTTATGATAATGCAAGGCTGACGATCCAATAGTAGCCATCAGCCTCCAAATTTTATAGTGTGTCAGAATCTACCAGTGGGAACTTAATGGAGAGGATAAGACCAGTCCACACAAGCGTGCTCTGAAGGAACATTTCTGAATAGATGGTTGTAAATTATTCAAATCTTGCATATGCAGGTGAAGTTCTTTTGATTAGCAAGAGTCATTTTTTCTTTTCAGATTCTATGCAGCAGAAATCTCAGTGGGTCTTTTTTTTCTCCATAAGAAAGGAATTGTTTATCGGTAAGTAGAGCAACTCTGTGTAAGAACACAAGTTGTCACAGGTTGTAAAAAAGAAATGTTTGTAGGCAAAAATGGGGGAAGAAAGCACTGATCTGGGAACACATATTTCCCAAATAATAGAACACATTATACATGCATGCATGCATACGTATATTCAGAGTTGCTTATTCAACTTGGTACACTAGCAGAAGTCTTCAGTGCTGTAAGATTTGCAAAACATATCAAAGGCTTTTTGTATAAGCATTGTAAGACAAAGAAATGTACCCACATCAGTCTATTGCTCTCAATAGATCTTCTAAAACCATCTGGAATATACAGCAATCAAGTCAGATTTGAATTGTATTCTATACATTTAAATAAAATATTGTCACAAGAGATGCAGAAGCGAATTACCCCAAAGCAGCAGCCTTTCAGATAAAATGAACAGTAGCAAAATGAAGGCGATTTATCTTCATGGACTAGTATGCTTGACCATGAGGCAAATTTTATACACATTTGGACCCCAAAGCCTGTCCATTTAATCCCAAATCTGACTTTACTGAACGAAGTTGGTCTGAACAGGACTTACCCAATATATCTCAATAAGAAGAGAGAGTGGTATGTGTTTAAGACATACAATAGAAGAGAATATATGTTCCGATAGCACAGGGTTGAACTCTGGAATCCTTGGTGCTCTCTGTGCTTGGCTGTTTTCGTGCAGACATTTCATTACCCAACTAGGTAACATCATCACTGTGAGTGTGAGGTTTGCTCCCTATTTGTATACAGTACAGGGGTATTTAAGAGACACTGTTTGATCTGTATAGTTACATAAGCAACACAGTGGCTACATGCTCCATTGTGCACCCCCAATCATTTCCCTTGGCACTTACAAATAAGTTGTCTGTAAGCCTTCTCAGTACATGAGCAGGTTTGCCTAGGAAAACATAGTCTTTGTGCTATCCTAGTTTTAAGTTACATGTAACTTAAAATTAGGATAGCACAATACAATAACTTGTATTTCTTGCAATGAGACTACCGACAGCATTTCCGACAGCTGATATTTAACTTTCTTAATTGTTGTGATTTTTCATAGAGATCTGAAATTAGATAATGTAATGTTAGACTCTGAAGGACATATTAAGATTGCAGACTTTGGCATGTGCAAAGAGAATATGAATGATGGAGTGTCAACAAGAACCTTCTGTGGGACTCCAGATTATATTGCACCAGAGGTATTCGTTTTTTGAGATATTATGTACCATACCCATAATTCTTCCAGAAGATAATGTACTTTTGAACGATCAATCAGTGCTAGATTTTCTAATATGATTGTTTACCGTTGACAGAACTTGAAAGGTGATAAACGTTGATAAACTTACTCAGGTTTCCTGCTGCTCTCCAGTTAGTAAGGAAAAATGTTGGGGAACTGGATGAAATGACTATCACTGTCAACTCTGAATTGAACCTGGCTGAAGCCATCTTTTGCTGGTTCACAGCAAAACGTCACATACTCTTGAGGGAGGAAGGGGGGAAGTAAATAAATGTCTCGGAGACATAACAAAGAGCTCTCCCATGGGAACCAAGGTTATCCCAACGGGTGTTAGTTGAAGGAGGAGAAGAATGACCAAGGAGCCCACCAATTGCTTTGATTGGACAAGGTGACCTGTGACACTTTGGGAAGGAAAATTTACTCTTTTAATTATGCTTAGAATCATGGGAAACTTTTAGAGTTGCTTTTCACTAAGCCGTGCAGATATGATGTATCCAATAAACATGTTCTTGGAGGAATCTTCCTGCCTCAAAGTTATGGTTTCTTTGGATGCTTTACTCGGAATCTTGACAATCACTCTATCACTATCTTTTAAGCTCATTCTTACATAACTCTTTCTGGGCATGGTGGGGGGCGGGATAAAGTTGGTGGCACTTTATGAGGAAATCTGTATTGTGAGATTTCAAGTTCAAGCCTCTGGCTTACAAACTTAAGTGTGACATAAGGATGCATTAAAATATGAAAGGCTGCAGTTTGTGACCATAGATAGAAGAGAATTGCCATAACTTAGAATTGAACTGTGAGGTCCTTGGTGCTCTGTGGGCTTGATTGTTTTCTTGCAGACATTTCATTGTCCATCTAGATAACATCATCTCTGAATAGAGAGCAAAGTCCACTCCCTTCTAGCACTGATGATGTTATCTAGTTGGCTAATGAAATGCCTACAAGAAAGCAACCAAGCTCAGAGAGCACCAAGGCCCCCACAGTGACTAAGATCCCAGGGTAAAATTTGACCTCATCTCATTGTATCTTGAATTAGTGTTAGCCAGGACTGGTTCATTTATTAAAAGGAAGTAAATTCATATCATGATTAATTTTAAATGCATCGTTATATTGCTATCATATTTCCAGTGTTGTGAAGCCCCCCCCAAAATTGAAAATCCTTCTTCCATCTTAGCTTTCCATTCCGTTTCTCTTTATAGCTAGAAAGAGAATAAATCACTTTTGCCAGTTGCTCATGTTTTGAAATAATGTTCTTGCAATTAGTGTCTTGAATAGCACCTATTGTTCACTTTTATGAATTAGCTGTTTTGCAATTGTGTATATTTCAAATTAAAATATAAATGAAAATTCTCTTAAAACGTGCAAATCATAGGATTTTTAAAGCCTTTTTGGAGTCTCAGGAAAGAGAGTAGCTTAATGTTAATATTAACTTGTGAGATTCTGCCATTCTGGATTTTTACTTCTTTTCAGTAATACTTTTGATAAAAGTATTTTGATTTCCTGATTATACCTATAAGTTTCCACTGAAACTTTGTACCTCAAATGAGTGTTTTATCAAAACCACATCCTGGAAAAACCCCTAGCCTACTCCTTATACAGTACAGGTAGTCTTTGATGTACAACCACAATTGAGCCCGACATCTCCATTGCTAAGCTTAACAACATGTAACAGAGTTTGTAATAAAGGTTGCTAAAGGCAGGATAAAAATCTAATAAATAAATAATTCCTTTGGTGGCAGAATCACTAATCAGTCAGAAAATAGGCTTAAGAAAATACTTGATTTCAAACTTGAATTTATTACTATGAGATCCAGAACTCTCTAAATGCACCCATGTGGCGTTAATCAAAGGATGTCTTTAACTAATTTATGTGTAGTAGCACAAATGATAACTATCATTATAATTCCAGCAAATGTGCTTTTCATTGTAGCTTTCCATAAGGCCTAATCATCCAATTTAAACTATGGTTCAGTACTGCTGACAGAAAAAAAAGTGCTACTTCTTCCTTAGTGGAAGCTGAATATACTTTTAGTGTTGATATGTCTCAAGGGTCAATGGGGGGGACGGGAACACATCACTAAGATTTGTTGCTGTGTAAGCTCTATAGACAGTAGGCAGAATCAGATGTCTTCTTGGTTCTATATATTAGTTCAGAATCCACTGAATTGCCCAGGTTCATCCAGGAAGGCTAACCCAGGGATCCACCCCACAATTGGATTACTCCCCATTGCACCTGAGTGATTGACAGCAGGGCCATTATTTTAGGCTTTCATTTCTTTTCCCATTACCCATTTTTCCCTCTTTCCAAAGCAGATGAAAAATCAAATCCATAGTGGTGATGCAACAGACTTTAGAATATTATTATGGACGGCAACATGCTCATCCATTTTGCCTGTTTATCTCTTCTTCAAGATAAAGTAGAATAGTTATAGAGACAGATTTTCTAGAGAGGTGTCATTATAGAGACTTTCTAGGATATTGTCTCTACTATGGTATAATATATGTATATATGGTATAGTATATATACTATGGTATATGGTATGGTTAAGTAATTTCTGTCCCCGGTCAGCTCTTCAGATAACATAACTGACGGCAGAAATAGAGTCATGCCAAAGCATCAAGGGCTATTGGGGCAAATTTAGCCCCTTCAAGCTTAATTGGCTAGGCCAGTTCAGGGGACCTGTTTCCATTAAAACAATTAAGCTTAAATACCACCACTTGAGATACCATACTTTATAATATAAAAATATCCATGATTTCTGTATGAACCATTTTTTAAAAAGGGTTACTGTACTTTAATGCCACTGAGCTATTAGTGTAATTGATCTGTTTTTTTTCAAAAACAGATATTTTCAAGGTATGTTACTAAATCTTTTTACTGGAATTCACAGATTATTGCCTATCAACCATATGGAAAGTCAGTGGATTGGTGGGCCTATGGAGTACTTTTATATGAGATGCTGGCTGGTCAGGTAAGAATGGCTAGGTCCATTTCATGAGGTAAGCCTTAAACAATTAAATGAGTTAGGAATGAAAGACAAAATAAGACACAGTAAAAAATAAAGGTTATTAGCTGCATTTCAAGTTAACAGATCAACTGGATATCCTCTGAAAATTAAAACTGCAAGATTTCATGATACAATGTCTATGTCCATGTATCATCTAAATAATATTTTCTCTTAAAATATGATGTTGAACAATCTTGAAGGTCCGGGGTCTCCAAACTTGACAATTTTAAGACTTGTCAATTTTTACTGGCTGAGAGGTGAAATCCACAAGTCTTAAAGTTGCCAAGTTTGGAGATCCCTGTTGTAGATGAATCAGATAAATGAAGTTTAATTTGTTGACCAATCCCTGATTTGTTTTCCTTCTTTTTAGCTACTTTTTGTCTTGCAACTCTTCAGATTGGGGATCATGCAGGACAAAAGCCAGAAATCCAACCATATTACTTTATTTATATGTTGTTCTCAATACACATGCTGGCAACAAATCATATTTTCAGATACTGTCAAATATTGAAGTATGATTTATTCACATAACCTGTACATTAGCACATCACATATTAATTAAAAATAAACAAGCCATATTTGTTGCAAACTGTCTTATCAGTAAAAGAATCAATGATAGGCTTCATTTGTGGAGGATGGTATATGAAGCTGCAAAGAAGGCCCTCTATTTAAAATTTTTAAAGATAATAGAAGAAATGGACTTTGAGGAGGCTTAAAATAAGGTTAGGATCATACATAAAAATACAATATTCCAATTAATTGGAAACCCTTTAGAGCTTGATCATAGTCTACTCTTTGAATTATACCCCAAAACAGACAATGTTTCAATTTCTTTCCCTTCATATAGTTACTGTATAGTCAACAACTCCTTTTAAAAACTTGAACACCTTCTTTAGATTGAGATTGAGAGGGTCGGAATACAGCATTGTGGTGACATTGGATTCCAAAATTCCAGGTAACTTCATCCAGGGATGGTAGATGCTAAGCAGCAGGGAGACCATGGTTTTCCAACAGTCAGCATCAGATATGAGGCTAGCCCACTTGGTGGGACCGCCAACTAAAGTTCTGAAGAAGCATAAAACATTGTCTCTTCTATTCCCACCCCACAAAAAAGAAAGAGCTCTGTCCTACAACTCCACAGGATGTTATCCATCCTTCCACCAAACTCCTAGCTTCTCCAGTTAGCTTGATCAAAAGGGTAGTCTGAGACAGCAGGAACTAACAATCTGCTTTTGAATAAATGTTCAGGGTAAGTGTTCATTTTTGAATGTCCTGCCAACCTTGCTTTCTTTGAACAGCCTCCATTTGATGGCGAGGATGAAGATGAACTCTTTCAGTCAATAATGGAACATAATGTTTCCTATCCCAAAGCAATGTCCAAAGAAGCTGTGTCCATCTGCAAAGGGGTAAGTTTTGTTCATTCCATTGATCACTGCAGTCAAATGACTATCAAATCAAAACATGGTATTGACATAATAAAACAAAATAGATACACTGTATTAAGTTGCTAAAAAGGTATTCAGTTAATGCATTTGTCATCTCTGCAATTAATCCTAATCCATTAGATGGCTGTAGTTATGAAGTTGTTAGTTTATTTATAACCTGAAAGAAATAAGATAATTTGAAAATGGTCCCAAACAGCTGCCCTCAATTAGAAGCTCTAAATACTGATCCAGAGATGTGGAATATGGTTATCTGTCTCTATTTAAGGCAACATATATGCATTTCATTTCTGAATACAGTATTCAGTGAAATAAACCATATTTTACTATGGAATCCAGGAGCTCAAATTGTGTTCTTTCACTGGCTCTGGGCCAGACCGATTATTAAGGTTTTTTTCCCCCTAAGTGGAATTCTTTTTATTCTTGGCCAACCATTTTAGGGATTTAACGCCAACTTGAGCATCGATATCCAAGATCTTCTGCTTGTAAGGTGCATCGATCTGAGATGTTATTGTATTTATTTTGAAACATAAAAATTTACAGGTGCAATATTAAGCATTTATTAGTTATTATCTGGGTAAAGTAAAATTTAATATTTGATTAAGCACTGTTGTAATAGAATTGGGCTAATATATCTGGATTTTTTTAATATTTGTCACTTGGGTTCACTTTTATACAATCAAAATAGTTAATAAAATGTATTCCTCCCTAAGAATCATTTTTTAAATTTAAAAAACATTTTCAGTTCTCACTAAGTGCTGGTGAACCAAACTTCTGATAAGTACTGATAATGAAAATAGACCTTTTGTCTGTTTCTTGTTGTGTAGTTCACACCAGATGATTTCCTTAACATAAACGGATATTGCTTCTGCTTGAGAACATGGATAATCACCATAACTCAGAAAACATTCAATTTCCCCCCAAAAAAACTATGTGTGGAAAGGGTTGTTCATCTTATACAGTCTTATTGGTGATAATGTAGTCCCAACTGTATGTAAAACTTTTAAACTTTAAATGGCACACATGTTTTTCATGATTTGCTCTGTAGATAGCTATCTTTCTTTTTTTTGTTGCTACAATAGTTGAAGCTTATGCTTTTAGAATAATATACTGTCCAAAAATTTAAAAATACAGTTTCTAAACCGTTTTTATGGCAGTTGGTTTTTTTGAAATATAGATTTTTTTTTAAAAAAAGTGCTAGCTTTTTAATTCTTGATAGAAGAGGAACATTATTTTTGTATCTAAAAAGGATATATATTTTTGTGTAACAGTGGGAAGAAAAGGGTCTATAAATATACAACTTAGTAAGTACTTTTTCCAGCTACCATTGTCTAATCAAGTGAACATTTTAAAGTGATAGTACTGAGTATTACTTTAGTAATTCTGGGTTCAAAAATGTATCTGTTCTTTCTTCAAATCTCTTTCTCTCTTTTTACTTGTTGACATTAAAGAAAATAGAATTTCTAGCAAAGTGACAAAATCTGCCTTTAATCTGTATTTGGACAAAACAGCAACCAATTTGGAGTGTAGGAATATAGCATGAATTACAAACATTTAGGATTAACAGCAGCAAGTATTAAGGAAAAACAAGATGACTTTATTGACTGTGTGCTGCTCCTCTCATTCCGAAAAAAACTAATTGTATCCTTTATGTGTTTGATTTCCAGTTAATGACTAAACACCCTGCCAAACGTCTCGGCTGTGGGCCCGAAGGAGAGAGAGACATTAGGGAACATGCCTTCTTTAGGAGAATTGACTGGGAAAGACTGGAGAACAGAGACATCCAGCCTCCATTCAAACCAAAAGTGGTAAATGAGAGGGACAGTAATGTTTCTTTCAACATTTGGTGTCTATGGTCTCATAACAGAATACACTTTTTATTTTATTTAGATATTTAATAGTCTTTTCAAGTGAAAGGTTCTTAAGCAGATGCCAGTTCTGTATACACTCAAAACAAGTGTAATAAAATTAAGGCAGACCCAAATAAATAGTTGCAGAAGATATAACAGTACACTGTCAGATAACGAAAGGCAGAATTTAAAAGGTACTTAGGAGAATTGAAACGGCACCAGCTGAAAGGAGTCGGCAGTCTGAAGAGAGAGATTCAGACCCAGAGCGCCACCAGAAGGAAGGCCTACTCTCTCATGTTGCAGTCTTCTCACCTGCAACCTTGAGAAGGATCCCAAAAGCAGCTCTGAATGCACAGTAGAGGTTTATGCAATAAGCTCAAGCAGAAGAAGCAAATGTAATCCTTTCAAATCCCACGAGAGCTCGTTGTAGTATGATCTAGGCAGAAATGATGCATTAATAGGTTGAATGGAACTTTTATATATGTATGCACGGACTTGAAGTGTTCTGGTGAAAGACGTATCACATGGGATAGCACTTCAACGTATCTCACCCAGACATTTTTTTCCAGTGTACAAGCTAGGTAGATTCAACTTTCTTGCTTTCACATTAATCAAAATAAAAGGGCTTTGTGAACCATGAATCTTCAGAGACTGGAGAATGACCTGTAATGCCGACTGTTTGGAATTACGTGGAACTTTTGCTTTGATGGCATGATTCTATTCATCTTCATCAGTCAGAAAGCTGTGGTAAAATCAGAGGACAACGGGTGTGTAAAAGTCTATCAGAAAAACAGAATAACAGAGTTGGGAGGGACCTTGGAGGTCCTCTAGTACAACCCGCTGCTGAAGCAGGAGACCCAGGGGTGGGTTTCTACCAGTTCTGTCCACCTCTGTAGAACTGGTAGCTCTGAAGAGCAGCAGACATAGAACCGGTTCTATGTCTGCTGATATTTTTGCCCACCCACCCACCCACCTGGACTCTTACCTGATCTTTATTTCCTGATTTTTCAACTTCAGCTGCCGAACAAGGCACAGCTGCAGTTAGAAAAGCAAGAAAAGAGGGCTGTTTCAAAGGCTGGTTCTCTGCAGGCAGCTGCTGATGACGATTTACAGGCGCAGCTCGCAGCCTGCAGGGAAGCTCGTAAATTCCGAACCTGTCGTATCCCACCCCAGAGGAGACCCTATATCATTTCAGACAAATGTTCTTCTTAAAAAGCTCCAGGGTTGGGGCACCCACAGTTTCCTGAGACAAATCATTCCACTGATTAATTGTTCTCAGTGTCAGGAAATTTCTTCTTAGTTCTAAGTTGGTTTTCTCTTTGATTAGTTTCCATCCATTGCTTCTTGTTCTGTCTTCAGGTGCTTTGGAAAATACCCCACCACCGCTTCCTTGTGGCAGCCTCTTAGATATTTGAACACTGCTATCCCATGCTATCCCATGGGATTAGTACTTAACTGTACATTGGCCCCTTTCTAGAGCTAAGATTATTCATTAATAAAGTCTTATTCTTTTAAGCCTAGAGTGGGAATGTATTCCATATCAGTTACTGGAATTTATGGGTACCTTCTAATCCCTTTGCATGCAATCATCCTTTTTTATCCTTTTTTTTATTTCCTAATGTGAAATTAGCTTGAAGTCATTATCCTAAAAGACCTGTTTTAATTGATTAACAGATGGCTGGGAGTGTATCAGGAAACTGCATAGTTCAGAAAGTGTGGTTTGAGTGATGTTTCCCACTTTCTCAAAAATCTGTCAGTTTAAATGATAGCTCTTGGGTTCAATTTTTCCTTTCCCAGTAGTTATTCTTTTTCTGTTGAAATATATATGATTGAACATGTAAAAAAAATCCCACATGGACACAAAGCACCAGTAGTCATATATTTCTAAGATTAAGTAGTTCTTGTACTTTTAAAGAGTTTGATCAAATTATTTTTCATACAATCACTAGGTGCTTGAAGCTATTTTTTCTACTTTAGTGTGGGCAATAGAGAAGATCTTAAATTACATTTTGTACCAAGATGGGCTTTTAAAAATGTTGGGAGGAGATGTAATACCATTTTTTTAAAATGGAACAGAATAAACTGGGGATATGAAAGAAGTAATCTGTAAAGCATTTATTTTTAGTACGTGGGCTGGAATTCAACCATTATTCCCATCATGTTAAAACCTTTTTTTGATTGCTATGAAGTAGTTTGCCCTTTGAAAACACAACAAAAAATCCATAGTATATATTATTCGAACCATTCTTCAGTTTATTGCTGCAACCAGAAATTAAGAGAGCGCATTTGGCAGAAAAATAAACGTGTTCATGACAGAACTCCCTGGAAGACAGCTGTGAACAGCAGCAGTTACCATTTCATGTATATTTCCCCACCAAGATGGAATATTGTCCTCTGAATGCCAGGGTTCCTGTTTGAATGTTAGAATATTATAGCGAGAATGACCTGGGGGAGAGCACATTCAGTATGTAAATCTACCAGCACAGTTCAGTAACTCAAAACAGAAAGTCTGTGAAATTCATTTTTAAAGGATTTTAAAATTATGGCATTGCATGTTTTTAATACAATGAGATTTTATTTTATTTAAAAGATAATTCACCTTGAAGTATTTCTGTTGAAGTTATTTTCCTATGGGAAGAACCTAACCAACCAGAATGGAGACATTTCTATCACCGATTTCATTTCATCTCATTTAGTTTAATATATCACTGCCCCAATTTGTATAACTTCCCATGGTTCACCCAGCTGAAATGTTTCTTACTGGTAAGAGTATTCCCAAATAATTGGAATGCAGAAATTCAACAATATAAATATTTTGTGCACACTTAACTAGGTCCTAGATGGACATTCAAATGAAGATATGTAATGTGCAAAAAAAAATATTGCATATGAGCTCTAAATATGTTCACCATTTTTGAACCAGGCAGCCTAGTCAGCACAAGTATTCTTACTTTTCATATTCCCGGTCACCAGATTTAGTTTTTATCCACCTGAATGTAATACCTGAAACAGTTGTGACTTTTAGTATCAAGAATATTATTATAGCCCGACAAAATGTGCTTCCCCTCTAGGATCCTCAGAGCAGGTTAAGAGTTTTTAAGTAATATAGCATCTGTTTACTTAAGCTTTCTTTCCAATTTGTAATATATATTTTTTTAATTGCAGTGTGGCAAGGGTGCCGAAAACTTTGACAAATTCTTCACCAGAGGACAACCAGTATTAACGCCACCTGATCAGCTGGTCATTTCTAACATAGACCAAACAGATTTTGAAGGGTTCTCTTATGTCAACCCACAGTTTGTACATCCCATGTTGCAGTGTGAAGTATGAAAACAATAGACTCAGGAAAGCCCTCCTCCCCACTGGGAAATTGCCCTTAGCCCTGGAGTTTTTAGACCTTTGCCTTGTTGATTCCATTCAGGTCTGGGAATTGTAGGGGTAACGAGGAAGGGAAGATGCCAAGGAACGTGTGGACGTAGAAAATCACCCAGTGTATTTATTTAGGAATCACTGATGCTTATAGATTACTGCTAGCCTTTGTCCTTTTTATAACTTTGACTATTTTTCTCTATCTCCTGTACCTCTGAAAACTTCTTCTTAAACAGTTAATAATGAATCTGAGACTATCATGTGGGATTGAGGAAAAAAGAGATGAAAATGTAAGTTGACTGAAGAATCAGGGGCAGCGGGGGCAGGGAGGGGAGAATGGAATAAAGGGAAATCCAGAAAACGTTATTCAATATTACAGTTGGCCAGATCTATGATAAAAACAAAGATATGAACAAAGAAGGCCCATAAAGCTTTTAAAATTACTTGATCAAGATAGAGGTTTCGTATAAGTTTTCAATATAAAGTTTTCAGTATAAAATACAAATTATGTGCATAGGATGAATACTAACGAGAGCCTGTGATGAAGTAGCTCCAAGGTAAAATTGCATAATACTGATATATGTATTATTTTTAATCTCCATGAGATTATGTTATGATCCAGGGTGCCAGTTTGCTATTTAATTCACATCACTAGTCAAGTTTATTGTAAAGCCAGTTTTAATATTTTATCCTAAATATTTCTTAACTGGGCTCTGAATCTATACATCCCTAACTCTTTGATTTATACTTATTTATTTAGTAAACTGCATGAATAGAATATAAAAAGTGTACAGTAAATTAATAGAGATGTAGAATTCAGAGTCAAGCCTGAAATGATTCTAACAATAAGGAATGTTTCTAAAAATAATTTCAGCTTTTAACAGATTGGGTTTAGAATACTTGGAACCACAGAAATCAAAGCGAAAACTTTAACACAGAATAAGTTTTCTTCAACTGTTGTTGGAAGCTATTAAATACATTTTTGAATAAGCATCATGCAATGAATTTTGCATGTTTAATGAACAACATTTAAGTGAATCTATATTACAAGTAATTGTATCACCTGTGATACACATAATACATATTTTAATAAGACACAGCTGTGCTACATGAGGGAAGGTTCTTTGGGACGAACTTTTTAGCTACAGCTTAATGTTCTATTACAGTTTGGTTTTGATTGGGGTTCTTAAACTTCTGCACCTTGTTGATAATTTAAGAAAGTCTGTGCTCTTCTCTGCTTATTTTTATGTAGTTCTACCGCTAAATTATCCTAAACCGCAGTGAGATTTTGAGCACAGCGAACACAATGAACACGCATGTGCAAAGTTTACCCACTCCCAGCTAGTAGGAGGAGCTGCTGGTGCATGCTGAGCCAATTCCACTGATTTATTGCTGAAGAACTTGCAACATGTCCCTAAATCAATTATTTGATCTCAGAGACGTTTAAAAAGCAGTTATGATGATTATACAAGAACTTGAGCAGGAAATTTGGAGAACAACCATATACCTGTGCTTTTTTTTTTTAATATGAGGCTTTCTTTCAAGAGGATGCTGGGCATTTACTGCATATCTATTACTTTGAAGCAGGAAAACAATATATTAGAGCTATAATCAGATATTTCATAGAATTTTGCTCCCTTGCTTTTAAATTAGTTCATTTCCTCCCCTCCTCTCCCCTCCCCTTCCCTCGGCATTTTACTTGAATTTAACCCATTTTAAAGGTCACTAAATAGTGGGTCTGTGATTCTTTTGCATGTAAATGGAGTAGGTTTTTTTCTCATAATGTTTTCTCTTTTAATTTCTGTACATTTAGCTGCCAAAATATGTGCATATAAGTCCCTGGACAGTCCATCTTTTTATCAGTTTTGCCACAGAAAAATGCATTCCTGAAACGAAAGATTTCCACAAAATTCAGTAGAAAATGTTCCCCAATTGTATTTGAAGATTATTTTTTTCATACCAGCTTAGAATGTGTGAAAATCCTCTCTGGAAAACTCTGGCTTTCCTGCACATATTCATTTTCTCCAAGGATTTGGGCAAGAGTCATTTTATACTTGCTTTTTTGCCTTTCTTTTGCGAATCTTTAGGATATAAAAAACATGCACAAGAAGCTACATGTGAACAGAACATACACAGAAACATACTTTTCAGTGTCTTCAGAATGTATTAGGAAGGTTATTTTTTGAATACAGCTGTCAGAAGATGTGCAATCATGACAATATAAGCCAGGTCCTCACACGTGATAGCATGTATTTTCCTCTACATCTGTGTGCCAAATATGTTGGAGTGATCCTAAACGTAAACCCCAAATAAATCCTATATAAGCTATGAAACAAGTGTGCTATGTGGGAAAATTAAGGATGCTAGTTTCAGATGCCATGTTACAAACAGGCTATGTATGAGCACTCTGTGAGATAGGCAGCCATGCAAATTCAGTAAATAATTAATAAATCAATAACAAGCGCACTGCTATCTTGCCAAACATGTAATGAGATTTTTGCATGTGATAGTTAACAGTTTTTGAAAGCTTTGTGCTGCACCTTGTAAAAAATATTCCTATCATTGCCATACTTCTTATTCCAATTCCTATATCTAGTGTTCCATATGGACAAAGAAATAAATAGGCCTGCAAAAATGCACTGTATCTCTTATTCAGCTGAGAATCAAACTAAGCAGCCATGCCCTTGGTGAAAACCACAGTACTAACAAATATCTTAAAGCAGGAGATACGCATGTTGTTAAGTGGATGTAATATTAGAAATTGTTGCAGCCTGTAAGAGCTCTGCAGACTTAGCTGTTCTTTAATAGTATAAATATATTTAAATATAACAAATATTAATATTTATACTTACAATAACCAATATACAGAAAGCCATCATTAAACATAAAAAAATTGAACGTATTAGATAAAACTTAATTGACATCTCTTTCTCTTTGCCTATTTTTTGTGACATTGCCAGTTTTATAAAAAGTTATGCACATTTTCCTTTTTTAAGAGTATAATTTCATTAGGCTAGGGCACAGAACAACCACCAGTCCATAAACTGGGCATTTAACTTTTTATTTTATTCAAACACACTTTAAGTTATTGGAGATATGCATCCGTCATGATAATAGTATCCAGGGGAACATAATGAAAAATAAATTTAAATAAACAAATGTGAGAAGTTGCTGAAGAAGGCACTTGTGTCAGAATAAACAGAATAGCAGAGTTGGAAGGAACCTGGAAGCCTTTTAGCCCCACCCACTGCTCAATCAGGAGACCTTACACCATTTCAGACAAATACTTGTCCAACCTCCTCTTAAGGTGATCATAGGGACTTAAATGTGTAGCACTTACCACAGACAGTAATAATGATAAATGCTATGACATTTACGCTGTGAAATTTTATTTTGGTCCCCTGATCAGTGTTTCTTAGATGTTCATTGGTGTTATAAATGATTCAACAGCCTTCCCCACTCTGCTGCCCTCAGTCTAACTGGGATGCTATCTTATCACATCTTGGGGGAGTTGAAGTGGGAAAAATAGCTCTACAAATGGAGTTGTCTTCTTTTTAATTACCTCAGTTGACAATTCATAGCTGATGGCAAGAGCCAAAACAAGAAGCAAACAAATAAATGCAACAAAGACACACACACACACAGTATAAAAATGCAACACAGCCGTAACACAGATCATCCCTATCCTTTGGGCCAATCCTTGTTGCCTTGTGCTAATAGCCATTGATTCTAACCTTTGGCACTTTATCCGTCAGCTAAGATGTTGACAGGGCAGTCAATTGAGTCATCTATGGGAGATGAAAGATCACAGTCAAGGTGATAGGCAAAAAAACAGAGGGTTTTGATCACTTAGTCAGGCTGCCTTCTGGACCTTTTTAATTTATTTTTTAACTGCTCTGCAGATGCTTTTGTCCTCCATATAGGTACAATCAACTGCTGACTTGCAGTAATTACAGTATGCTGCGTAGGCCTGACTGCTTGTTCATTACGTGGGCATGTTCCCAAGAATTGAAAAATCCCCCTCGTGTCTTCCTTGTAAAATGGGAGATATTACAGGTAGTCTTTGATTTAAGACTTACAAAAGCACTAAAAAAGTGGTTTACAATAAGTCCCTGTGCTTATGACTGTTGCAGCATTCCAACATATTAAAATCCAGGCGCTTGGCAACCGGCATGTATTTATTATGGTTGCAGCATCCTGGGGTCATGTGTGGTTGCCATTTGTGACTTCCCAGACACTTCCAGTCAACTGGAGGAAAAGCCAGATTTGCTTAATGGCCATATTAACTGCAGTGATTCACTTAACAACCACGGCAAAAAAAAAATTGTAAAGTCAGGCAGGACGCACTAACTGCCTTGCTTAGCGATAGAAATTATAATCCCAAATCCCAATACCTGCATATTCAGCTTTGCCAAAACAAGGTTTTGAAAATTAATTGCAAGCAGTCTATTAAGATAAGAAATTGGCTGAAACGCCTTTTCAAATAAAATGCCAAAAGATGAGATGAATGAGCTTAAACTCAGAGGCTTGGAAGGGAAATACTCCAAATATTAGTGCAGAGGCAGAATTATCTTTTACTCAGGTAGAGAAATAGTGAGTGGTAGCTCAATTCAATAGCTCCTTGGGCTTCCAAATGTAGCTAGGAGCAGTTGTGGCCCTCTGCTGGGAGATAAGGAAATAAATCTGGGGCTATCCTAAAAACAGGCCCTCTCAGCAAACACAACAGACCAAAGACCCATGCCCTGAGATAGTCCTGTTTCCAATAAAATGACTCTATTGGAAATACATGTTGGGAACTGTAAATAGGCACATAAGAAACCACTTTTCCCTGATTCACTTTTGAAGGCATTCTCAGGATCCAAGTGGCAGCACCATAAAGGAGGTGGCAGATTCACTTCAGGATTAAAAACGTCAATAACAGTGGAAAGACATCGATCACTTCTAAAAGAAACCAGCAGTTTCGAACCCCAAAGTTTCTAGAAAGCATAACTCAGTGAGAAAAATAACGACCTATATGCTGAGTTTCTTACCTTATGATGATTCTGACTTTTCACTTTACATATTTGATCCCTAAGGAATTGTTCTAAAGTTTGAAAAACGGACCATTTACAATCATTTAATAATTCAGTTAGCTCATTCAGTCCAGGTCTATAACAAGAGGATGATTGTGCTTAAAACACAAACGTTCCCCTTTCCAAATCCTGGCAAATGTGTATCAAGCTTATTTAATACATTTTTGAATCAAGTATAATTTGAGAAAAGATTAGAAAATTTTCCTTCTCTATTCCCTGGACCTTGGGAAGACTTCGGTAAAACAGGTCTGCATTGCCATATCAGAGATGAAGGATGGATACAGGATCTTAACAAGATGAAGCAGTCTTTGGTCATTAAACAAATACTTCAGTTTTAGCCAGAATGCATTTTTAAAAAATACACTCAACAGGTCCATGAATTCTGCACACATTTTAAGGCTCCTGTTTCTGTAAGATAGGAGAGATTATCTTTGTTTAGATAATTTATTTAGATAAATACTCATATTCATTTGCTTTGGGTGAGGTCTGCTGAACAAACTGCAATTATTGTTTTGTCATTGGCCAGTCCCACATTATTCTAAAGCAGGGGTCTCCAACCTTGGTAACTTTAAGACTTGTGGAATTCTTAAAGTCTTAAAGTTGCCAAGGTTGGAGACCCCTGCTCTAAAGCCTTGTATTCTGTCTTAAAAGACATAGGATGTGGAAGTGATAAAAATTTCTTTAGCAGAATGGTAAACCCAGAGCAGATGTTGCTTAAGATTTTTTTTTAATGAAAATGAATTAACCCAACAATACTCCATTACCACGGAGTACCTTCACACTAGCACATTGCACAAATCCCATATATTCTCATTCTTGCTGTTTTCCTATTGCTTTCATTCATGAAGAAGAGCCCAGCACATTCAAGCTCAAAGATTTGTCTGACTTTGGCCCCAGAAAAGAGCATTGGTCCTTAGCAATTAGTATTAAATTAGAAAATAAGAGGTATTAAGGTCAAATCGGGCTATCGTGATTAGTAATCATTAAGAGTCTCGCTCTCTGTGAATTTTTCTAATCTCCTTGTCAAAACAATCAGGGCTGGGTGTTGCTGCATCTTGTGCCACATTCCGTACTTGTATTTGCATTGTGGGATGACTTTTCTTTTCGTCCTCCATCTCCATCAGTGATGGCTGCTGATAATATGCTCTAATATTTTGAGGGAGGAAAAAACAACCACGCCTCCCTAATCACCTGCTTCAGCTCTCCCACTACCAAAACAGTTTGGTTGCTTGGGCTTCTATATCCTGCTAAATTTGTGGGAATAGTTACAGCATTATTAACTCACTGTTTTAAGATCTGAATGCCGGATTGCTGGCATTAAGACACTTTATCATTGGTGCCGTAGAGTTTGTCCTTACAAGGCAATAGTCATGGCAAGTGTCTCCTCCTTCTTAGCCCTCTTAAGTTAACCCTGCTCTAGTTAATTTAGGCCTATGCATTTGCTTTTTAAACCCATCCGACTTGGGTTTTGTCTAAGTATCTGGTTCAGGATGGCTTTGCTAGAGCGGGGCTTTACAATTCCTAGAATTTAGCTCCTGAATTAAATCTCTCAAAAGCAACCTGTAGGGACTCTAATCCCTTTGCTTTGTTTTCAGTTATTAACTAATTAATTAAAGAGTAGCATTTCTCCTCACCCAAGTGCTTAAGTTCTGTGTGTATTTAACTTCCATTTTGCTGCTTTGTCAGTGGGCTTTCTAGAAACTAAAATAGATCAACCACATAGCAGATAGGTTTTCCTTGTTTGGCTTAACAGTATGTGGAATTAAAGCAATCTTTACTTGATTTAACAGCTAAAACTGTATACAGTATCATCAATTTAGAAAGCATCTTTTCACAGAACAAAGTATTGGTTCAACTTCAGAATAATCTTGTATGCAAAATGAAACCAATGGAATATCTTATAAGAATACACTTTTGAAGGTTGCCCAAAGTAATACTTTGATATAATTAGGGCATCACCCCATCTCCCCCTCTGCCCCTCTTTCCTGCCCCCTGTTTACTCCAGAGGGATCTGTCCATTGAAGAAATATGTAGGAGCACAACTCAAGTGCTTAACAGAACATATTTGGCATGGGCTGCTTGTGAGTCTAAGCTTATATTGCATGAGTCAAATGTATTCATATCCATTTAAGAATCCTGAACCAAGCTTTATACATTATTTTAGAGATAAAATATTTTATTTTCAATATAGAAATTGGGAGGGTGAAGGTAGGAAAGAATTAAATTATATTGAGTATTAAATAGTTATGACAGCTGTCATTGCATCTGTAAAATGTGTTAAATTTGCAAAAATTATATTGCGATTGTTTTCAACCCCCCTTAAAAACACCCCCCCACAATTGTTTATTTGCAATGTAAGAAGCAAATTCAAAATTATAATATCTGAAATATTTAAAATTGACAGTGATTTAAAGCCACTCATTGTTTTATCACTTTATCAGTAAATAGTTATGTCAGTGAAGCTTGGCATTTATACCACCTTATAATGCCTGCCATTAAAAGGTCTCTTGTGATATTAAAATATTTACAGGTAGTCCTCAACTTACAACAGTTCATGTAGCGATTGTTCAAAGTTACAGTGCAACTGGAAAAAAAAAGTGAATTATGACCCTTTTCCACACATGAGCGTTGCAGCAGGTCAGGTGATCAAAATTTGGATGTTTGGCAACTGGCATGTATTTATGATGGTTGCAGCATCCTGGGGCTGTGTGTGATCACCTTTTGTGATCTCCCAACAAGCAAAGTCAATGAGAAAGCCAAATACACTTAACAACGGTGTTGCTAACTGAACAACTTCAATGCTTCATTGAACAGCTGTGGCAAGAAAGGGCATAAAAGGGGGCAAAATTCACTTTGCAACTATTTTGCTTAGCCACAGAAATGTTGGAGTCAGTTGTGGTTGTAAGTCGAGGATTATCTTTAGTGGAGACAATATAGGTGTTTTTATAGCTATATTACCAGTGCGGGATCTAGGAATAACGGACTCCCTTTTCCCAACTCTGCCAATGATTCCCGTTGTGGCCTTGGGCAAGGTATGAAACTTTCTGCCTCAATTTCCTCATTTGTAAAATGGGGATAATAATATTGCCCTCCCAGTCTACTGTGAGGAGTATTTAGTTATTATTCTTGCTGCACTTCTAAGGTTAAAAAAAAAACCAAGTATTAAATTTTTTAATAGAGAATCCAACAATTTACATATTTTGCTGAAAATGCTGTGCTATTTGTACTTTTTTATACAACTTTTCATAGTACTGGTGAGGGAAAAAAATGCATAACCCAATATGTGTGTCATACATGATCTGGAATATTTTAGCTCTTGCCAAGCAAAGTTTTGTGCAGATGCTGCAAGATGCAGCTTTTGCTAAAGTATGAAGGCAGTTTTTTCTATTAAAGGGGTTCAAACTTTGCATAAGCAGAAGCATAATGGAGTGTTCTACTATATTGTCCAGATCAAGAAATTGGACACCATATATTTTAAGGCAAGATTTCATGAAACACAGAAGGTGGGAGGACTTTTGTAGGCAACTATTCCCATCAACAGTAATTAAATCACTTTATTTCAAACCATAAGCAAACTGCACATTTATATCATTATAAAAATTAGTGTGACAAGGCAAAAAGCTGGAGAACTCAGTTTTGCTCAGAGGTAATTGGGTGTCTTCTGTCAAAGATTGATTTGATTACTCCCAACAACTGGTGTAAAGAGTGTCATATTGTGTATTGAGGGACAACCTGAATCCATTTCGATTTGATGTCCAAATTTTTACAAAAATCACAGGGAATTTCTTCTATGCAAACCTCATGACAATCTCTTTGAAGGAGATTTTGGGGTAAAGTAGGCAAATAACATATGTACATTCACCCGTTTTTAACAAGACACCCCTTCTCCCCTGAGTGTGCCTCATGCCTTCCACTGCAATCCATCTTTCTATCTTAGGGAGTGGTTAAGCCTTTTACAGAGAGCCAGTTTGGTATAGTACTTATGGCATTGAGCTAGAAACCGGGAAACTGCGAGTTCTAATCCCGTCTTGTGGTCAGTCCACAAGACTTTGGGCCAGTCACTTTTTCTCAGTCCTCGGAAGGAGTCAGTGGCAAATCACTTCTGAAAACCTTACCAAGAAAAGTGCAGGGACTTGTCCAGGCACTCTGAGAATTGGACACAACTGAACAAAAAAAAGTACAGACACCTCCAACTCTGTCTGAAAAACTATAGATGCACCTGCACCCTCCCCTTCTCCAGATCCCATGTGGATTGGAATCAAAATGTTAATTTTAACCAATTCATGATTATCTCATTTAAGATAGACAGGTTGCTTATACTTAATTATTATGTAGAATTCAGGCCTAGACTTTGTTTCTACTGTAATCAATGCCCCAAACAATAAACTTCAGAGCTTTTATTTCTTTTCATTGCTTAGAAGGTGTACACAATCCAATTTAATAAAAATAAAATGTAATTTTTGTCAATGTAAAGCCTGAGATCCGTATGGAAGGAGTATCATATAGCTTCAATACTATGAATTTTTTGCATGAAAGAATGAGAACTATCACATATTTGCTGTGTCCTTGTTCTCTCTTTGGACAAAAGTAAAACCAATTAAAATTTTACATTTTATATATGATACTATTTTAAGGCTCAATATTTCTATTTGGAAGACAGAAAAATGTTTTCTAACTATTTAATAATCGCATGGTACTGTAAAGTAAATGGAAAGGCCATTCATTTGCTGGGAGAAGATGTTTTTAAAAATGAACGAGACTAATGTACAAATTGTTGCACTTTTTCCTTAAACTTAACAATTAAACTTTGTTTGCATGATTTTTTTTTTTGTTAAATAGTAATGATAGTTTGAAAGCAAGTTGAGTATGAATAAAGATACTGACAATTATTTTTGTGGAAGTCTTTCTTACTTCAAAGGTTTTAGCAGGTTGCTGAATTAATCAGTGAGGATTTTTCAATTTTAATTAAATAGTTTTTCACTGGCTAGTGAAATAAGTCTTTCTGCATAATTGTTCATTATATAAGAACAATCCATTCCTTATCTGGATCTGCTGTAGTGGGAATGCAAACTCATTTCTGCTTAGAGGTAACTTCACATTCAATAATCTGCCTGTGCCATATTTATTTAAAAGGGGGTTAGAGGTGCTTGGCAATTCCATATGTGTAATGTAAATATGCACCCATCTTCCCCTTATTCTTTGAAGAAATATATGTTTTTGTTGTATGGTGGCAATCCATCTAGGATCACCAGGAGCATCTGAAAATGCACGGACTAATACCATGTCAAAATAGAGCAAAGCACAATGAAATCAAAACCATTTACAACTATTAATGTTTTACATGTTGCCATTATAAGTGGGCAATTCCAGATTCATAATTATTTACCTATTGATATTTTCTTAGCCCTCATACAAATAATACTGTAGTTAATGTGTGGAAGGAACCAGCTGGACTATAGCCTAGGTTCTAAGCACTGTTACATGGAATGAAAATTAATTTGATTGATGTTTTGCTATATATCTGTAAAATGCAAATGCATTTTACATTTAGGAGCTTTGTACTCTCACAGCTGACAGCTAAAATTCACTCAGCTGTGTTTATGTAAACCATCATACTAACCAAGAATTCTACGATCAACATTACATTTTTTTAGTTCTGCAACTGAGTAAATATCCTTTTTCTATGGATCAAAGAGGTATACCTTTCTGGCACTCCCATCAGATTTGACTGAGGGGAAAACCCCTCAAAATTATGGAACATTGTTGCTGATTGATGTAATAGACAACATTGAATTGGTGGTGAGATAAAGATCAGTCAGTTTCTAGCTACTCCTGTCCCATCTGAACTACTGGATGTAACTATATATCTAAAATGATTAGATTATTACTTCTAAAACTCTTCTGACGCTCAGTTTATTAAGACAAGCTGGAGAACACTATTTTATATTCTTCTGGATCTTTTCAGTGTTTGTGGAGATGTGTGATTATTAACAGACCTACAAAAAACTGCTGCCAAAGCAAAAAAAAGGGGGGTTGCTGTCTAGGATCTTGCTAAGATGTGAAAAGCACAAGACCAGATAAAATAAGAATGGAATGTATTATTGATATCAGCTCTATTTATTTGAGACATTCCACCAGAAGTATTGGGATGAGTTACAGAGAGAAATGCATGCACTTACAATACAGAAAAGAGATTGGGACTCTTATGAGTTATTCCCCCAAAACGCCACCTTCTCACAATCCATGAAAAATGAAAGTAACATTCATTATCCATTCATTATTGTCTATCTGTCAAATAAGTTCCATTAGAAAGGAAGTATGCTTTATGTGGCAAAGAATTATATTCTGATTATCTCAGCTGAAGAGCAGAGAGAAACGTTTCCTTTTTAGCAAACTCTTTCCATTTTGATGAGGGAGGAAGCGAATAAAAGTAAAGGTCCTTTGATCTGGATTTTGATGTAGGTAGTAAGAATGTGGCATGTAACCAAGTTGGAGAAGAAGGCAAATGAAAAAAAGAAGCAGTGTCAGACTTGTTTGGCATTACCTGAAATGGAAAACAATCTATTGGCAGGGATCCCAAAACTCTTCAGCTCATCAACCTCTTCATGAAGTTTTAGATAGTTCACTGACCCTCAAACATTTCTCATACGAAAATAATTTAATGAATACTATTTTAACTAATAATACTATGAACTGTCAACAGTGTACAGGATTGCCTCCCATCAAACCTTGATCCATACCAGTTTGCCTATCGGAATAACAGATCCACAGAGGAGGCTATTGCCATGGCTCTCCACGTTGCACTGAAACATCTGGAGCATCGTGGGAGCTATGTAAGGATGCTTTTCATTGATTACAGCTCAGCTTTTAATACCATCATTCCAGATATATTGATTAAGAAGTTGCTAGAAAAGGGCCTCTCCTCTCACATCTGCTGTTGGATAAAGGACTTTCTTACTAACAGACCCCAAACTGTTAGGATTGGCAGCTATTTTTCTTCCACTCTTGCTCTCAGCACTGGCTCTTCACAGGGTTGTGTGCTGAGCCCCCTTTTGTATTCCCTCTACACCTACGACTGCACTCCCTCTTGTCCCACTAACACTGTAATAAAATTTGCAGACGACACCACGTTGGTGGGACTCATATCAGGAGAAGACGAGACGGCCTATAGGTCAGAGGTTCTCAGACTGGTCTTGTGGTGCAAGAGTCATAACCTCACCCTGAACATCAAAAAGACCAAAGAATTGATTATAGACTTCAGAAGATGCAAAGCAGAGCCTCTCCCACTATATATCAGTGGAGACTGTGTGGGAAGAGTTCATAGTTTTAAATTTCTAGGAACTCATATTTCTGACAACCTTACTTGGTCAGTCCACACTATGGCCACTGCAAAGAAGGCCCAACAGCGCCTGCACTTTCTGAAGCTGCTGGAAAAGAGTGGTCTGGGTGAGAAGTTGCTGGTTACTTTTTACCATTCTGCCATCGAGAGTATTTTGGCATACTGTGTAACGGTGTAGTATGCTGGATGCTCTGTAGTGGATAAGAAGATGCTCCAGAGAGTTATAAACCCAGCACAAAAAATCATCGCTTGCTCTCTTTCTTCTTTGGAAGAGATTGCAAAGACCAGATTCCTCTCTAGAGCACTAAAAATCTCCACAGACCATTCTCATCCTAGACAGTCACACTTTGAACTGTTACCATCGGGGAGGCATTATAGGTGTCTTAAAATGAGGACTAATAGACTGAGAAACAGTTTCTTTTCCAAGGCAATAATTGTTTTGAATCAAACAATGCATATGTGATTTAACCCTATGTATATAGTGGCATTTTTAAACTATCTAACTTACTATATGTTTTAGATAGGTTTTAGACTAGGTTTTTAATTATTATTTTAATTATTTTAATTTTTAAATACTCTGTAGTGTGATTGTGGTGTGGTGTTTGGGACACTGTGCTGGAGTAGCTTTCAAATTTCATTGTATTTGTAGAATGCAATGACAAAAAAAGTATTCTATTACAGTCTATTCTATTCAGTGGTGTCCCCCAAGGCAGTGTTTTAGGACCAACTCTCTTCATACTCTACATAAATGACCTCTGTGATCATATTAAGAGCAACTGCGTTCTCTTAGCTGATGATGTAAAGCTGTTCAACACCATAAACAATAAATGCTCTGTCTTACATATTGGCAAAAAAATAATAATCAGAAAATAAAATACAAGCTGAATAGTCAAAACCTTGTTGATGATCCAAACTTTGTCAAGGACCTTGGAGTACTCATCTCTAATGATCCAAGTGCTAGAGCCCACTGTAACTACATAGCCAAAAAGGCGTTAAGAGTTGTTAACCTAATCCTACGAAGCTTTTCTCTGGTAATAACACACTACTAACTAGAGCATACAAAATATTTGCTAGACCAATACAGTGGAGAAGCCATTGGGGAAGGACTGGGCAAAAGATCCTGAGAGAGCTTCTTCCTCCAATAGTATTTTGGCTGAGGAGCAGGTCAAGCTGACCCCAGCATCTTCCCCTTTTTCTTTCACTCTCCTTATCAAGCCCCAAAATGGAGGAGGGAAATGGAGAGCTAGAGGGAATAGATTGACACCAATATGGTGTTGTATGTTTCTCTTATACTTGTTTTAAATACTGTCCCTGTACATAGTAAAAAGAATAAAAACCTCTACCGTTGTGTTTTTCAAAAGTTGTCATTCAAAAAGAGCCCTCTCACATTGCGATATGCATATACGCAAACAAAATTAATGACATAAATTGTATAGAATTTAAGCAACTAAGCACATGCCTGATTTGATGAAAAACATCTTACCAATTTGCACAAGAGGAAGTTAGCTTTCTTACAGGACACTCTGCTTGTCATCATTTCCCACATTTTTTTTAAGTCTTAGAAATCACGCCTTATTGCCAACCTTGTTCTAGGAAAGGCCATATGTTATACTAGAGTTTGCAGCTTTTGTGCACTAACACATGCACATTCTAGCAGCTGTTTCATGAAGTGATAAAAATACAAAGAACATACTGCTTGGAGGTGTTCTCAACCTAATTCCCTGGCTTCTCACGACCAGCAAAAATAACTCTGTGCTGTGAAAATGCTAGGTCTTCAATATTATAAATTAATCAGGGCACAGGGCTGGACTTCATTTCTGATGAGCAAGGAAGAGGCTCGCTGACAGCCTGTGGGCTTAATAGGGCTGAAGCTGGCCCTCCTTGTTCAATTTTGGAGACATTTTTTTTTTCCAGAAAGGGCTGGCAGAGAAGAATGAGCAGAGCAGATGAACAGCACGAAAGCAGGGCTGTGAGGGAAATGAGGAAGACCTGTATGTGTGTGGGTGAGAGAGAATGTATGTCAAGGAAAGAGACTGAAAAGAGGAGGGGAGGGGAGCTGAGGAGAAGAGAGGAGAGGAGAGTTTGGGGTCAAGGTGCTGATCTAGAAACCAGGAGAGTGTGAGTTCTAGTCCTACCATAGGCACACACACACACACACACACACAGACAGACACACAGACAGACAGACACACACACACACGCACACAAAACCTGACTGGGTGACTTTGGACCAGTCATGTTCTCTCAGTCCAACACACCTCACAGGGTTGTTGTTGTGAGGAAAGTAGGAGGCGGCAGGAGTATTAGGCATGTTCGTCACCTTGAGTTATTTATAAAAATAATAAAGGTGGGATAATTTTTTTAAAAAAAAAGAATTGTGCACCTGAATGAGGAGGAGGAGGATGGGTGTTTAGGGGTTAAAAGGACGCTGCGTGCGTGCGCATGAGAGAAGAGCAGATGGCTACAAGTGAAAGAGTGTTTGTGAGAAAGAAAGGGGTGCCTGTGGAGAAATAAGAGGCAGAAAGAGAAGGATGAATTTGTGGGTGTG